ACCTTGAGCGTGTGCGTGCGCTCTGCCAGCACCAGTCCTCTCACCTGAACAACAGCAACCTTAACTGTTCTTACTGCCCCCAGGAAGCATCACCGGGGGCATCTGAGGAAACTCAGTGCCTGAACCAGACACTCGGTCACTAATACATAAGCCTCCGTTATGTCTCACTCGCTTAACGCATTGCGGACCAGTAGTTCTAGTGCCAGCTTTACCCAGGGGCAGGTAAGTTTCTATTGAATGAGGACAAAAAACGTTTTACATAAATGCTAATGGCACGCTTTAAAATTAAATACCCATGGCATTTTGAAGTTAGTTACCACATGTTCTTACAAGCTTATATCTTTTTAAAGAATTCTCATGATGGGCCACAAACCTTAGAACAGAAACCACGAGAATTCTCGTGATCCGTCTGTGTGTTAAGTAGTCAGACATCTAGGCCAGTGGTCGGCAAACTCATTAGTCAACAGAGCCAAATACCAACAGTACGACGATTGGAATTTCTTTTGAGAGCCAAATTTTTTAAACTTACACAATATGGGTAGGTACATTATTATTAACTTAATTAGGGTGCTCCTAAGGCTTAGGAAGAGCCACACTCAAGGGGCCAAAGAGCCGCATGTGGCTCGCGAGCCGCGGTTTGCCGACCACGGATCTAGGCAATGGCACCTCACTCGGAATGTCTTCCTTTTAGAAACCACTGAAGGGGAACCGCGAGGGACGGACATGGAATTGCTCGGCACACGGCGGGGAGCGCGTGCTCCTCTGGTCGGCACCCCTGGGAAATTCTGTGCAAGCACCTCCGATGGTCCCCAGTACCTGCAGGACGGTGTCCCCCAGAACCACACGCACCAAGAACAGCAGCCGGAGACATTGATGGTCTCAAGACAGGAAGCTGAAAACCCAAATGAACGCTTCGTGAGCACGCGGTTTCAAAGCACCTGATGCAAAGAAAGAATTCCAGCCGAAACCGGTTTGGCTCAGTGGATAGAGCGTCGGCCTGCGGACTGAAAGGTCCCAGGTTCAATTCCGGTCAAGGGCATGTACCTGGGTTGCGGGCACATCCCCAGTAGGAGATGTGCAGGAGGCAGCTGATCGATGTTTCTCTCTCATCGATGTTTCTAACTCTCTATCTCTCTCCCTTCCTCTCTGTAAAAAATCAATAAAATATATATTAAAAAAAAAAAAAAGAATTCCATCCGGGCGAGGACTGAACACACACAGCTAGCACGCCACATTTAAAATCCTGGGGCCTGGGGGTGTGGCTCAGTGGGTGAGCACTGACCTACGAACAAGGAGGTCACAGTTCGATTCCCGGTCAGGGCACATGCCCGGGTTGCGGGCTTGATCCCCAGTGGGGAGTGTGCAGGAGGCAGCCCATCAATGATTCTCATCATTGATGTTTCTAACTCTCTCCCCCTCTCTGTTCCTCTCTGAAATCAATAAAAATGTATTTGAAAAAAATATATTTTTTAAAATCCTTGGTGAGAAATAGCTCACTCGACCCGTCTTTGGGTTCAGGCACCAATATTCACAATTAGAGAATTAACACCTCTTGCTCTGCTAGCCTTCCTGAATGCAACTCAGTGAACGCTGGCACATGGACAGGCAAAGCAAATTGCCAGGAAAGATGGGCAGCTGCAGGGTCGGAGCAGAGCAGCCAGGAGCTGGGGGTCCCAGATTGCATCCCTGTAACGACAGGCAGGGACAGTCTGCTA